ATATTATATTATATTATATTATATTATATTATTAGTTCATGATTTCAACTTTTTAGAAAGGTAGTTTAAAAACAACAATGACCTATATTTATTGTCAGTAGTTACTGGGTTTTTATTATTTTTACTCTTTGTTAACGCTGTTCCGACTCCAGCGACTTTAATTTTGAAAAGTTAAAATCTCCCGCAGTCATTGAACGCAACAGAAGACCGGTTTTCATAGCAACGGGCTACAACAGAAAAAGAAGATGGTTCACAGTGAGTGTTTAGACAACAATAACACACACAAACAACTTTTATATTTAATTTTAAAATGTTATTTATATTTTTTTAGCAAAAAACGGTGACCATTTGCTTCATTTTAAAGCCTAGCTTATTTTTTTAAATTGATATTTACGTGAATTAGCTAACAGTTCGTGTGTTAGCTAATTAGCTTAATGATCATGCTAACATGCTAATTAATTAATTATTCAAACACCAGCTGTTTAATGTAAATGCTTTTAGTTCCTAAGAAGAAGAAGTTGGTAGTTAGTAATAGTTATTACTAGTTAATGCTAGACATGTTTTTTGTAACTTTTAAATTTTTTGATTGAAACGTTTTTGGTTTAATGCTAATGTTGCTATTTTTATGCTAACGTTACTAATTTCTATACTAATAATGACTGTGAGCATAATGCTGTGGAARGTTTATATTAATAAATAATAAATTAAAGACGGTGGGACAATTAAAACTTATAAACTGATGTAACAACAGTATTTATTTATGTGATTAAATTAGATTTGACCTAATTAAGTCAGAATTGAGTGTTAAGTGAAATAAGTGTACGGTTCAGGGTGTGTTTGTTTTCAGTCACAGAAGAGCTGATCCGCCGGCGGGCGGAGCACAACGACGGTGAGCTCTTCTCCCTGGAGGAAGTCTCTCTGCATCAGCAGGACATCGAGAGGATCGAACACATCGACAGGTGGTGTCGCCACCTGAGGATCCTCTACCTGCAGAACAACCTCATCCCCAAAATCGGTAACGCCTGCCGGGCTCAGTGTGGTCAGAACCAAGGCCATGATAGTTTGGGATTTTTCTCTATTGTTTATTTTGTTGTGGCTTTTTTTCTTTTAATTCAGTTTTAATTAGTTTTTACAGTGGATTTGATTGTTTATGTGTGTGTAGATAGATAGATAGATAGATAGATAGATAGATAGATAGATA